TCTTTTAAAACTTAAAATTGGTACTCTTTCTTCATAAAAAATATTTGTTAATAAAATCGAAAATTCGACGAATTTTACATTTTTTGAGGTTATGGTATCTAAAGTAAAATAACAAAAAATAATTTTAATTTTACATTTGCATAAATTAAAAAATATTACAAAATTTATGTTAGAAATCATTTTAATTATTTTTTTACTACGCAGTATGTCGATATTCAATTCGAAATGCAATATATATTTTTGATACAGTTCTCAATTATGTCTATTTAAAAATAAAAAACACGTTTAATGTCTAAATTTTCTAAAAAATTATTATATTTATATATTTTTTAGGTTAGAACTTACTTACTTAATTATGATGTGCAAAATTAAAGTTAACAAAAATTAYAATTAATTTAAAAATAAATTTATATTTGTCCGATCTTACTATATTTTCGTCCGAATAAAATTACTCAATCCGTATTTAAGAAATAAATTCCCCAAAAAAATATTTTTTTAAGTTAAGTTATGTAAATGCATATGTATACAATTGAATTTCTAAGGTAGTTGAAATTTTGAGGTTATGTAAAATCGTTTCTTATTTTATTGCGAACACTTGTACATTTTGCTTTATTTGTTGGGAAAAAATTCTTGAAATTGAAATGTTGTAGAAAATAAAATTTTTGACAAAAAAAGGCTACACACTCGTGTCATAAAAGTGACTTSTTTCAGATAAATAAGCGATATATTCCAAAAAGTAAAAATAAAGGACCTTCCCATTGCAATAAAGGGCTCAWACTTGGAGACATTTTCTTAGAGTACCAAGGGAAAAATCGATTTTTCGACCAACCTAATGTATGTGTATATATTTTTGTTAAAAAAAAAATAATTGCCTGTCCTAACGCTTAAAGAAAACTGCCGCATTCATAATTGTTCATCATTTTATTCATATACATACATACATAAATTTACAATATGGATAATAGATATAAAATTTAGGTAATTAGATGTAAATTTTAAAGTTAGTAACTAACAATTATGTTTGTTGTAGATATTTAAATACTTTTGCTTTACAAATCATGCAATGGCATACAATAAAAAATAACAAAAGGCACTTAATTGTTGTATTCTATTAATTTCTATATGTTTGCATTTACATCTACACTTGTGTGGCAAACAATCGCTTCACTCACAATCAACAAGTYAAAGGTTATAAAACTAAAGCTAAGTAGTAGGTATGTATGTATGTATTGTTTATATTAGTTTTTATTACGCTATAAACCCCACAAATTTGCAAGAACATACTTATATATATATATGACCAACTGTTTATATGTACATTTATAATTATAAATTTTAATTGATGTATGAGCTTGTATTAAAATTGGCCATATACATACATTCATATGTTAATATAATTTTCGATGCAAACATACACATATAGTACAAAGCGGCATTTTCTCACGCTTGTTTATAGTATGTATATACTTTTTTCAAATATTACAATAAAATTTATTTTYTCCACAAGTTTTATATAACTAATTTTAAAGCAAAACTTCGTTGATAATTATATACAGTTATGTATGTATGCAAGCTTTTACATAAATATTAAAAACATATACAAATAATTTCAAGTAAATTGATAGAAAATGAAACAAAATCAATATGTATGCGCTTCCATAYGCTTGAAGAAGTACATATGTATGTTTGTATGCAATAAAAATTTTAAATATAATTTCAATAAAAAATAATTAATTAAAATAATGTAAATTCTTTGCCAGTAAACACTAAAAATATGTATATTATATTAATAAGTTTACGTAAATTAATTATTATAGAAATAGAAGTACYATATGTATGTGTATATGCAAAATTATGCAGTTATATAATCATAGAAAATAGCAAAATATTTTTTTACAAATCTTTCCCCCTTCTCTTTTTAATATAACAGCCAAAAGAATTATGTACGTGTGTGTGTGCATTTTTACAGTGTTTCATTTTGACCTTAGTGTTTTAAGCTTAGTTCAGTATTAATTATTATTACATTTTTTTATACTCCCACTTGCAGACCTCCACTTAGAAGTCCTTATCCCAACCGGTTAAGTCATCTGGCGGTGGACCGTCTGGATCTGGCGGATAGGCATCGAAATTGGTGGTGTCTATGACGCTCTTAACGGTCGGCTTKATTGGCGGCTCGAGTGTACGATTTTGCAAACCCAACCAGTAGAAGCCATCGAACCATCTGTAAGTGTGGAACATATTGATTATTTAAGTTCTCAAAGTTTGCAATTATTTTGTTGATAAGCTCGAAAAATTACTAATTCCTAGCGAATGTGATGAMATGATATGTTATATACGTACCTTTTAACCTTAGAACACTACTTTAAATAGTTGCTCATCCTTAGTGAATAAATTTTGATTTTTCGTAAGCATTTTTTAAAAGTGAAAGTAATTTGAAAAAGCGAAAACATTTTTTAAWAAAGTGAGAGTATTTTTAAAAAGCGAAAACATTTAAAAAAAATTACACAAAATTTTCTGATGCAATTTTTTGATAAAACTAAATTAATGGATGTGTATTTCATAAAATTTTTGTTAAAAAAAACACTAATACCATATTCCGACCAAAAATTTGAACTGATTAGTTTACATTTAATCTATTTACTAATCTAGTCTTTTCTCACTGCCCTTGGAAGTTTCTACAACACCTCTTTTTGMTTCATCACATTCACATTCTTTAATATTTAATAAAAGAAAACATTGTAATGTCGAATATTTTGAAACAATATTGTCTTGCTTTAAATATTTCCCATTTAATAGAAATAATAGATTATTTTTTTGATTCGGGAAGTCGATTGCGAGGTGRATTCTGATGCATTGCATTTAATTTATTTGTTTGTTTACATTTTTTCCGGTTGTAGTGTCTAAATCAGCTGTGACAATTTGATGAATTTCACTATAGACAAATAGATGGCAGAAGCAAGCAGAAATTAGAGTAGCACAGGGAGATTTTGAGCAAAATAAGCTTCAAATCTCCTCGCTGCCAAGATTAGCATGTCATCTTTGTATGGAGAAATTTTGCTAAATCCAGTAGATTAGAGAAATAAGCTACATAACTGCCTAAATCATAGTGTTCGACTCAATATAAATAATAGAAGCCAGTTAGAATTCCACCTTTGAACTGTGACATTTATTGTCTCGTGACAAGCCTAATCCCCCCACTTACATAGATCAAAAAGACCTTTGCAAATTGTGGTTATTCTCTGGCCGTGTTTGTTGGAATAAAGAACTCACTATATCAAATAGTTTCAGAACATTCTTTTGAATTACTATTTTTTTAAAAACAAAATGTTTAATCAATTGTGATTATGAATACTCCTACATAGTTTAGTCAAGTCTATAAATATTAGCGCAGATAGTATAAATTTTTACGTTCGATATATGCTTGAAAACTAATTTCTATGATAAAGCTTTATCTAAGCTCAGTCTGACTTAAAMCAAAGCTGAGGATTCTCAGAATAAATAAGTAATTGCAGGTATGAAAAAAGCTTGTCTGACTGTCAAACATGTTTAAGCGCGGTTTAAGTAAATTTTTGTTGGTATAAATATAGTCATTATTAAAAAAAAAAATATTGCGTATATTTATATTTTTAATTTTTGCTCGAAAATGATATGATGGCCACATGCTAACATTATAATTAATTATAAGGCACTTACCGATGCTTTTGTATTTCACTAATGCCACCGCGTTGATAGCCTAAACGTTCAGCGGGATTATCGCGACACAGTTTTTTGATCAGATTGCTGGCGTTGCGYGTAATATCGCGCGGAAATTCGATGGCATCAATACCCTTCAGTATAATATTGTAGGTACGCATGGGATCCGAGCCTGTGAATGGTGGCGTGCCTGTGGGGAAAGCAGAGATTACATTTAATATAATATAATTATGTTTTTTTTTTGCAATTGTCTAATTACCCGTCAACAGCTCGAACATCAGCACACCAAGTGACCAGTAGTCGGCGCTAATGTCGTGTCCTCGATTCAATATCACCTCAGGCGCTACGTACTCCGGTGTGCCGCAGAAGGTCCACGTCTTGCGGCCGGATTGTAGTTTCTTGGCGAAACCGAAATCCACCAGCTTCACATAGCCCTTCTCGTCGAGCARCAGATTTTCTGGCTTCAAATCACGGTATATTATATTGCGTGAGTGCAGGTATTGGAACGCCTCCACCACACAGGCGGTATAAAAGCGTGTAGTGGCATCATCGAATTTGCAACGATCGCGCAAGATTGTCCACAATTCGCCGCCCAAACAGCTTTCCATTAGCATGTACAAATATTTGCGATCCTTAAATGTTTTAAAGAGCTTCACAATAAATTGACAATTGGCCTCGCCCATAATCTCCTTTTCGGACATAATATGCTGTTGTTGGCGCGTTTCGACAATTTGTGACTTCTTCATCTGTTTCAGCGCAAACGAACGACTATTATCACCGTTAATTTGCACTAGCTCAACACGACCGAAACCGCCAACACCGAGTGTGGCGATTATGCGCAAGTCGGTCAGTTGCACGTTGTCGAATTCCTCATTGATTCTGCGCAGAACAAAACAAAAAGAAAGCAAATTAATGAATTTAGCACGAAAATATTGTGAATAATGGTGTTAAGCCGCTGTTGCGTGCAGAACATTAGCGTGTCTTCGCTGCGTTGACTTACTTTTTACGCTCTCCTATGCATTCGTCATCGTAGCGATGCTTTATTTCATCTAAATTCGATATGAGTTGGTTGAACGTCTCGCGATCGATCACCAGGCAAGTAACGCCATCGGCGGAATCACATATAATATTCGCTGTGCGCAGGTCATCGCTRCAAAAGTGTAGAAATGGCAAGTGTAAATTATTATTTCTTTTGTTAGTTAGTGGCTTTATTTGTGGCACTCACCCTTGCAAMGCTTTTTCGCCGAAGAAATCACCTTTGACGAGTGTGCGTATGAATTTCTCCTCCTGCGTGTCTGTCTGTTTGATTGTCACGCGCACTTGCCCCTTCGATATGATGAAGAAGGTATCACCACGTGCGCCTTGACGCACAATGTAATCACCCATCTGGTAGTGGGTCTCTTCGAGCACATCTGAGATTTTGATGAGTGTATCTTCGGGCAGATTTTTGAAAATGGGAACACTATAAAAAGAAAACGGAATATAGTGAGAGTTAAGTTAAATTTTAACATAAATTAACTATAATATAATATATAAGCATGTACATATGTTCCTATATACTTCATATATAATTCGAAAAGGTTATAACAAGCGCGGCCGGTTCGTTAGCCCTAACAATCCAACAATAGGAAAWCTAAAAAATGAGGTGCGTCAGTTGGATTCAGCGATCCTCCAACTTCTTCAACCCGTCTAAAAAAATACATGTCCTGGAGGTCTACGTTGCGCCGATAACCTTTTCAGTCAAATAAAATGTTTGGCTGGTGAGTGACTGAAGCTTGGAAACAAAACGAAGTCGCTTGGAGCCAAATCGATGGATGGGACAAACATTCATGGCCTCATTCGAACAGTTTGGTACTGACAATAGCGGAGGTGCGAACCGGTGAGTAATCTAGGACCCTTTCTTCTTCTCCAAATCTTATTTCCTGCAACTCGCCGAYGAATCGGATCAAAACTCGGCATCGTAGATTGAAGAAGGTTGCCTCTACAAGTAGTTGATGCGGATTATACTTTGTGAATTCAAAGAAGAAAAAAAAAAACCGTGGCACATGCGACTTTTCTTGCATTCTTTGGCGCAGTCCGTGGTCGAAAAAAATCCAACTAAAATATTAAGTATTTCTAGCATCTGTGGGTCCAGTGGATCCATGTTTCATCGACGATCGCGAATGCACCATATTGCGCTTAATAACGTCAATCATCACCCTGAAGTGGTATCACTCGCTTGTTGTTCAGAGTGAGCAAATGCGGCATTGATCTCACCGGCAGACTGTCACCTATATATCCGACGAAATTGACTTCGTTCATCGAATTAAGAGACAGCGGCTACGCTGGCTAGGTCATGTCGTTCGAATGGATGAAAACAGTCCAGCTCTGAGAGTATGCTACACAGTATCCGCCGGGGGGAGCACAGGAAGAGAAAGACCTTCGCACCGTTCTAAGGACCAGGTTGGAGAAGGAACTGGCTACACTTGTAGTCTCCAATTGACGCCAAACAGCGAAAGGGAAGAGCTCCCAGCGCGCTGTTGTAAACTMGGCTATAAGCACTACGCCATTAAAGAAGAAGAAGATCGATTGAAGATCGCAACAACGTTAGGCAAACGACTTTTCATGATCCATGCTTATTACATGCAAGAAGYTATAATAATATATAATATGAAAAATTGGTCCTTATTATTATACTCGTAAAGTCAGGCAACAATTACTTATGTTTCCAATTGTGTAAAAATTGGATAAAAAAAAAAAAWWAAAAWWAAAAAAAAAAAATAGTAGCAGTGTAACTAATTGTTCAATTTTCTCAACAGTTTTTAATTAAGTTTTCGCTAATTTACTGCTGCAACGGAGCTGGCACTACACAACACTGCAATTAGTAAATATGTAAATTCAAATTTACAAACAATTACTTCTTTCGTAACGGTTTCCATATTAATATAAAGTGCCTCTAAAAATATTGATATCGAATTTTACAACTTAATTGCTTGCAATAAAATAGTGAATATAGTTTTTTTGTTGCATTTTTGCTTGATAGCTTTCCGAACGATTGCACCACGTGTCACAAAGTCAAAGGTAAGCGCAAAATGCTGCTTGGCGTTAAAGCGAACCAGGCATTTAAATCCAGCTGAGGCACTGCTCTAAGCCACAACAACACTACATAAGCTAATTTATGAACTTGTCTACAGGGGAAGCGCGCTCAGCTGTCATTTTCTGATCATGCAGGGTTGCACAGCAACAACGACTGCCGGCTGACTGTGGCTGAAAAGCGTGTAAAACTTGTCGCTTCAACGCTGCGCTAATTTGCAACGTTATTTAACGCTTTTTTGTGTGTTTTTGATTGTTTTTTTGTTTTTGTAATTTTTATTGCCAATAAAAATGAAAAGAAATTTGAAATTTTTTCACGGTCATTAACCGGAACGCTGCTGTGTGCATTACAAGCATGCGCTTAGTTTCACACATGCAGATCCATTTACATGCATTTTGGACGAGGTTATTGGACAAGTGTTTGTGCTCAGCTAACRTTGAAATAATAACCGTAATATGTACATATATACATGTGAGATGTATTTTTTTCTTATCGATGATCTGATTTTCTAAAGGAATTTGAGTATTGAATATATTTTAATTTCAAAGAAGTTTACATCATTACATTATTACAGTCACTTTAAAGATTTTTTTAAAGAAATGTATTTGTATTTACTCTATTCTATTCAAGAGGTTAAGGTTAGACTAGAATTTTTCAAAATCCATTTTCTTTTTGGCTTAGGTTTCCAAAAATATTAAATTGGTTGAATCGAATGAAAAAATATTGGGTAGTCGAAAAAGTCTTTTCGTATCTGTTAACATAAGTTTCCCAGCAGTGTAGTGTCAAAGCGTTGGGGTCAGTCTGCTCCGGCACTTTAAACTTTAATGATGTGATTGTGGTGACTAGGAGAATTAGTCCAATGGATATTTCATAATATAGAAGAGTTAAAGGAGWCGGAAAAGCACTGAACTAACCATTTTGGTTAAAAAAAATAGACTGCCTATTCCACCCATTGACGCCAATTTTCAATGAACTTATGCAGCATTTCAGCTGCATTTTCGGCTATAGTGCGCTGTATGTTGTCTTCGAGCAATTTGGGCGTTACTGGTTAATTGGCGTAAATCTTTGATTTCGCAAACCTCTGAGAAAATAATTTATAGACGTTAAATCGCAAAACTTTGCACGCAACGTCCTTATGTTTAGATGTGAAACATTTGGCAGCGCTTAGTCTGGTTGAAAATGAAGATCGTCTGCGGAGATTTCATCACATGGGACGGTCAACATTTGGGGATGCAATTGCGTTTCCTCTACCTCATGACGATTTGACTCACCCCATTAGCTAGAATTTTGATGAAGTCATTAAGTCAGAAATGGCTTTGCGAAATAATTTTGTACGATTGCCAAGCTTTGAACCAAAGTAAAGCGTGACATTATGAAATCGCAAACATATTGCGCACACTGACAAAATTTGACAAAAAACCGTAAACAAAAATGGCCACCAGCTGTCAAAATAACAACATCCCTATTGATTGACGCTGTATATAGGTTCGAGTACCTTTCCCTTTCGCTTTCCTATTGAGCTTGTTGAGCTTAGCTTCCAGCATAAAAATTGCCTTTCGACACTTAAGAAACACCGAAAGTATCTACACATACATATGTATATTGCACGGATGAGTAGACATTTGCTACTTAGCCCACCGCCGCTAATAGTGAGCTGCGTGGCAGCTTGCTTAGCATGTAAGTGTTATTGCCATGCAACAGCGTGTTGCATTAGAGAAAGTTGCTACAACTTATATACATAAATTCGCAATAAATGTAGAAATGAAATAAAAAAAAAGACATTTGACGATTGGCATCGATCACCGATCGAACTGTCTTATTGGTGCGAGCGGCAGCGTGGATTGGACAGCCAACACTCACATCAATGTCAGAGTCGTGTCGCAAAGCAGGCTGAATGCCACATATGATGGATGCCAGCATGCCAACTCCTACACACAAACACATATACATCCATATATATATAATATATAGCCATGAATATGCACATTTTGTTAGTTATGTTGCACTTGCAATGCGTGCCGCAACCATAAATGTGCGAGGAGGGAAGTGTTTGTCATGCTTTGCTATTTGCTTTGTTTTGGACTGACCACATGTCTGCCTGCTTACCTTTGATGGACAGCAATAGAGAAGCATTAGCTTTTATTAACAGTTATCATAAAAACAAACAAATTAGTGATAAATTTTTAGCGTTAATGCAACATGCCACACGCATCGGCTTGCTGCGGCGCAATTTTGGATCTGCAGTCCAGCAGCTGCGGSCATTTTCACTTTTTCTACATAGACATGTCCATATATGTATATGTCCTAGTATATGGTATGGTTGAGTACCTTTGGGGTAGTTGAGAAACACGAAGAAGAAGAATTTCGAAAATCGGCATATACTTCAACGTATAATCTCTCTTGTTTTAAGGAGATGTCACTAATAATGGCCTGATAAGTTGTAGTTGACAATTAAAAAATGGTTACTTCGACTTTCATTCCTTTCAAAAATTTTGGGAATATATTAATTTACCGTTCTTTATTAGCGATTATAGAATCTTCCCACAGATCGCATCAATCTATAGATTTATTGAGAGAACACTTCAGAGAGCAGATAATTTCACGTTTTGCGCCGGTCGATTGACCACCAGGATCGTGGATATTACACCGTTAGACTATTTCCTGTGGGGATAAGTGAAGTCTRAAGTCTATGCACAACATCAGGCGTATCCTTCGCCAGTTACCAGGCGAAATGTTGAAACGATTCATCGAAAATTGGCCAAAAATGCCAAGATTCTTCTTTTGAATGATAATAAACATTTCCCMTTTATACATGAYATTTCTGTGTTCTTTTTCTCTAAAAAAAGTAGGATACTTTGAAATGGATCACCATTTATAAATCTTMATAAAGAAATTTTAATTAAAAGCTCGAAACTGTTAAACGAGTTGCACATTTCCTGGGCTTTCCCATCCCTTTTACAACAAGAAGCGTCAAATATTGATTTAAGTGGATCTTTACAAGAGTACAGAAGCAAGCTAACATACTTTATAAGTATCTGTGAAAGGGTGATTAGCACTTAATGATTTGAGGGYATGATACTTGATCATCATTTTTTACGAGTATATATTGTACAATATTATTAATGGGTTGAAAACCTGAAACCTGATAAATTAAACAAGTAACTCTATAATCAAAAAAAAAAAAAAAACATGTATAAAAATTTTGGGTACGAAGATTTCACAAATACTGAAGGTATAAATTACAGAGAGCCCAAACCGCTTGCCACCAACCGATTGCATACATATTCAAAATGACCAATGCCCAGAGGCCGAAGCAAAGGCAGAGGCCGCAGCGACAGCGGATCAGTGGTGGAAAAGCTAAATACGTMGCTGCTTGTAATAGATATTCTCATATTTCATTGGAATTGTAAGTTTGTATGGTATATATGGTGTATCAAATATGTATGTATATTGAATGCACCATGCTGTTGGCTTGAGCATTGTACGCATGCGTGTGAGGTCAATCACTTGACCATTCACTCCACTCGGTAGAAGATTTTCAAACAAAAGACGTTCCACGTGAGTGCTCAAGGTAAAAATAAAGCTTTTTGAAAAGAATGATGTAAATATATGTGTGCGTGTGTAGTTAAAGGGTACATGAGCTATGGTGACGATGTTGTAACTCTTTGCTTAGATTAAAATTGAAAGTGAACGCTTGGGTTATTGCTTAACTTGTGTAGATTTGGGCAGATATACAAACATATGAATATATATATATATATATATATATCAGCTACAAGAAAATTATAAATTAGGGTGAATTACTTTGATTTAGCGAAGACATTGAAGAATAGAAGCAAATGAGGTCATAAGAAATTAATTAATAGGACTAGAATAGGCTTATACACAAAAGCTTAGAGAAGCTCATAGATTCGTTCCCGTTCCACTACACAAAGCTTGACAAGTCACGTGAGTTTAAACTCTGACATATATAGAGACAACCATTCAGAAAAGACCGGAGCGGTTCTTTGCGGTGGGCCAAGTGCCTCGTCTTCGACAGGCGCGGCTGTTTCTAGAGAAGTTCGATACAAAAAGTTTCAAGAAACTAAGTGATCTTCCCAGAAACCAATYAATTCAGCTTRYCAGGCAGCAGGATACTACAGGCTGCGGCGTCATCTGCATATATTAGGTTACTTACAGTGTCGCTTTTGCGACCAAAGAGCAGATACAACAGTTCAAATACTCCCGGAATGCCACGAAATCGCAAGAAGAAGGACTAAGGGTATTGTATAATCAAATCAGATGGCAAAACATATTACAACCAATAATCCTGGAGTTTTACTAAGCCTCTTTGATTTGCCTGGGTTAGACTAAGTGTTGCATAACAGTAGAGGACACAATATACCTATGGATCGCAGTCCTCTAAAACCTGCTTGAAGTCACTCTCCCTCAATTTATAACTCTTTTTTCCGGGATCTGTTATTCGACGATTTCGAAAATAATATCCAAAACATTAACCATCAGACAAAGTTGAAATAAATTCTCAACTATTCGCTACAAAAATCCATTAGCAGGATTCTGGTCTAAACTGGTGCTAGGTTTGGTTAGTATACTGGCTTCAGTAGCTCTCCTCCTCCGCAGCCATAAAAAGTACTTTTAATTTGGAAGATAAAATTACATAGTGTGTGTTTGTCGCTTACCTCTTGAGAAAATCGGTATATTGCGCCTGCCGTATGAGGCCAGTACGCATCATTATCGTTTGGAAGCATTGTCGTTCGATGGCCCATAATTTACATTCCGTTATAGCGGTTATGGTCGCTGTACGCTGGCAGTTATATAATATGGCCAATTCACCCAGCACTTTGGCGCCGGAGAGTGTCGAAAGGTATTTACCCTCACGTGAGACCTCAACACGACCCTCTGCAATGAAACAAACAATATCACAAAAGAGTCAATAAAAAGTTAAATTAAGCACAAAATAAAGGGTAAAAAATAAAAACATACTGTAAACGCGATATAAAAAATAACAGTAAAAATTTTGCATTAATGCATTTTTTAAAGCAAAGGTGTGGCACGATTTTGGCATCAACGTGATCGTAACGGTAAAAAAGGKATGTAAATACGTAAATTGTATTTATAATATATGCGTATTAGGGTGCGCCAAAAACTAACCTRTTGAATTAATGGGTTAAAGTGAAAAGTTTAAGTTATTTACAGAGATAAAATTTCGGTTTAGGAGAAAATATTTAGCTTAATTTTAAAATAATGTAAAATAATATTGTTTCTTTAAAAATACCATAMATTTTTACCCATTTAGGATAACATTTTTATATTACGGATTCTTGCGCAACAAAAAATTTCCTACAAAATCTACCTAAAGGTGATTTTTTCCAAGCCAAAATTCGTATATTTAAATATATTCTATCCTAAAAATAGAAGATTTCACTAACTAACCTCAAAATTAGTAGGGCTGCACACACGCGACTTTCTTAGATATACCTGTATTTTTCAAAAAWCATAATAGAAGGCGGGGATAATATAAGAAGGGACGGGGGTTATTTCGTACGAATGGATGAAAACACTSCAGAGTATTCGAGGAAGACCTCCACCCCCTTAGAAAGATCATGTGGAGAACTTGCAACTTGGATTCTCCAATTGGCGCCGAAAATCTAATTTTGATCAATCCTTCTATCATTACCTGCTTTTATYTATTAAAAWTTTTTTTTAGCTTTTGGWTTTTATATCGTCCTTACTGGCCTCTTCTTGGAAGTTTTCTAGAGATTGGCTAAGGGATAGTTTAGGTTTGGTTAGGTTGAGATGTCGATCCTAACAGGCATCGCATTTAGACTGCTTAGACCCCCGGTCCATTCTGATACCTAAAAACCTCTCTACACTAGATCATGGGATCGGCAAAGCGCTTTGAGTCTATCAAAAATTTGTTGAGACGAATAATGTCAYCTTCGGCTATGTTTTCTGGTTTGCGGAAAGTAAGATTGCCGAGTGAATGCCTAGAACTCCTACGATGCGTGAAGATGAACTTTGCACAAGGCAAATGCTTCAGTAGATCTCCTGCTTTCTAATCTGCACCAAAAGGATATCGTAGTCGCACAAGAACCATTGATTCAGTGCGAGAACACAATACGCCAATGAATATCGAACTAGGTTCCGTTCCGATGTGAGAGGGGCAAGGGTGTGAGTCAAAATACAGGGTTCGTCCGAAAAGTAGTATTACTAATTTTCATCCGCCGCGATTGTACTTCGGAGCGTACACGCACCGACTGGATACGGCACCAGTCCTTTTTGGAGGGTCGGGAAGAGGTGGCTGATGAATCAGCAAATCCAATATGAAAATGCTCATTGTCTTATTTGACATCAAAGGCATCGTCCACCATGAATTTGTTCCTAGTGGACAAAACGTCAACGCCAAGTTTTACGTGGAAGTCYTCAAGAGACGCAAATGAAGGGTCAATCGGSTCCGMCAAGACATTGCAGYCGATTGGAAGTTGCACCACTACAACGACCYCGCTCACACCGCCTTTCTTATGAAAAGCTACSTAASTAAGGTCAGCATCCCAACGCTTCCGCAGMCWCMATACAGCYCAGAKACTCAGTCTTATTACTTTCCGGMCAAACCCTGTATATTAAATGGGAAACAAGACCGCAGCCCACTTGATAGTATATAGAAACGTGAGACAAACCTTTAGTAAATACAATTTCGACTCATACTTTTTTTTAGATTAATATGTAGACTCTCATTACAAAATGAAGTGAGGTTAGCATAGACGACCCTGGCGATCCGAAGTCCTATATAGGCTTTTATCGGATTTTTTAATCAGAAGAAAAATATTTTCATTTAAAATAATAACAAATAAGCTGTAAAAATATATACCTTTTAAGTACACACTAAAAAAATACTGAAATATTAGTTCACTAAGTCCACCTAAGCACTCWTACATATTTATGTACCAAGTACCATATAATTGCAGTTCAATTCGAATTGAGTAATATGACTTAATGCTGGCAAGCAATGAAGTAATCCCCAACAACGAGTCAACGAAGGAAATATTGCAAAATGAAACTGAAATTAAAACGGGCTAACAATTCAGCTTTGGGCTGCAAAGCGACATTATAAAATCACATACACACCTACATACATATGAAGGCAGGAGATTTGCAAAAGCGCATGTCGCCAAAAAGTTGAGTCAACTTGCCACACAAAATGAAAACAAAACAAAAAACCGCAAAGCAAAAAGCAACCGGTCCAAATGTCAATTACGAGCCCAACCTAGCAAGAAACTAGCCGACTGCAGTTGGACTCTGACTCTGACTCGCCAGCGGCGATTTGTCAATTGTCGCGGAGCCGCTGGGTGCGGGCAGTTGCCTCTATGTGTTGTATTGTAATCATATGAACATACTCAAATATGACTTTACATACATTTGTGTAGTCTGTGTATGAGTGTGTCCTGCGATTTTAAACCCGTATCCGAATGGCACAACTTTGAAATTGTATTAAAGTTCGATTTGTTTGGTCGCCAAATGAACATGAAACGAAACAAGTATAATCTCAAATGAAATWACGAGTAATCGACYACAAACAACAAAAACCCAAAAGCAATAAAAAGCATAACAACTGCATGCGAGTCGCCTAAAGTGGTAAGAAAACCCCGATTCCGGTTTCACTTTCAAAAAATGCAAAGCAGTCTCACTGCTAAAGCCGTTAGCTGGCGAACCGGTCCGTTTCAAATCTACCAGTCTTGTTGTGCTTAGTATTTGTATTTGGCTTTGAGCCTTTGTTGCTGCGCGGCCGCTGTTGTTTTAGTTTTGGTGCAGCGCCAAGCCGGGCTTAAGAAGCTGAAGGCAATTTGTGCTAGAAGCTTTGATTCGGGATGGAGGCAAATGAAATATTAAAATTTTAGTGCCTTGTGTTTTTTTTTTGCGTTCTCATTGTACAATTTGTGGTGTTGTTGCTGGTGTTTTACTTTCTTGTTTTTGCTGCCGGTTAGTGCGGTTTCTCGTCTGGCCGGTCAGCGTTGAATTGTGGTTCAGGGTTTGTTGTTAGTATCGAAATGGAAATGACATCATTTTGTTAGTGTTTTTTTTTTTCGCTTTGTGTGATTTGATGGTGGGTGCAGCGTTAGTGCGGTGGGGGGTTGATACATTACCCAGTTAAATTAAGGTTTATGGAAATGCTTAAAATGATATGCTGTTCAAAAGAAAGTTTTATGTATAATGGAATTAAGAATTTCTAAAAATAAAATTTAATGATGAAAAAAATTAAGTATTTGTTGATAAATTTTTCAAAAATACATACATTAGTGTGCTCATTAAATAAATGAAATTGACGATTTTTTAAGYCTAACATTTTCATACGGAAATGCCACCCTCAGATTGCTATGGACAATAATCTATATCAAATTACGTGGTCAAATAAAAAAGTTTTCCATATAAGAACTTGATTTTGAGTGGTCAGTTTGAATGGGAGCCATATGTTATAGTGGCAGCTTCTTGATGAGAATAGGATGGTTGCAAAATGTAAGTTCGATATCTCAAAAACCGATGGGTTTGTTTGCATGTGTGCAGCAGGACATCCTAAATCCACTCAGATTTTCACGCTGATTTTTTATATGGTATGCACTTTTTAGGGTCTCGACTTTTTCTTCTAAGGACTACAAATTCCCAGGCAAAATGAATATACCTATTCAGCGGATTCAAATTATATATAATGAAATAACCTGAATTTTTAATCTTAAACGTGTCCGATGGACCACAACTTTGTATATGACACTTTCATCCAACGTTGAATCAAAAGACGAAGTTTGATTTAAGAACTTTCCTACATTTAGGAAAAATCCCAAATTCCTATAAGAAACCAAATATAATTTTAGAGCGTCACTTTCTTGGAATGCGTGTGCGCTTTATATTAGCAGAAGCTTTCTGCTACTTTTACTTTATTCAAATCTTCTTTATGCTTTTATAGCCATTTTGGGTCACGCGTTAACCTACTTCTTAAAAACGTTGACATGTGCTAACTCTTATTGCCAATTTGTATTGTGCAGGTAGCGTAGGTTATATGAATAACAAAGGAAATGGTTATGAATGGCTAGAATATTTACCGTTGACCTATAAAATAGTTTTGATCGTAAGAAGTGAAGGAATGTGAATGGGAGTGTACAGTTTGAAAGAGATAGGAAATCGGCACGAAATAAAATTAAGGAATTTATTTATAGTATTTTTGCCAGTGTTCTATATTAGCTAGTTGGTGGCATGGTTTCCCAAAGGAAAGTTCGGTAATGACGGGGTTGCAAATTGGCATTGGAAATTATACAAAGAATATTCAAGTGAAGTTTAAACAAACTGGTTCCGTTAACTAAAGTCTAAACGGAGCCGGATCTTTTTGCGGCCAAGGTCTATTAATTCGGCACCATTCCTCGAAATACTCACCTAGCCCTAGCATATTGATCCAATATATCGTGGGAGCTAGCGAAGCGATGTAATCCCTATTTGGAAACATGTATCCAACGGCTTTTAACCTGTGCGTGGAGTTGTTGCCTATAACTTTCTCTACCAACTTCTTTTTCTTTGCGAACCAGCTCCTTTATGGTATGAGGACCCACCCCAGTGAAGGGTTGAGATCCTACCATGTTACCAGTTCGTTTCCGGCTATACTTTTGTAATCGGCCACCCAGGTGAGGTGCACTTGGTTACGTTGCGCTAGGCTATTCAGCCGTTCACAAGTAGCGATTTGATTCCTCGAAAATACTTCAGGAATGT